TCTGCCCGCAGGTCCTCGGAGGAGCGCGTCGGGCGCGCGCACCGCCTGCTGATGGCGCAGCTGGGCCAGCCGCACGCGCAGGTGCGCCTCGCCGCCCTGCAGGTGGCCCGCGAGCTCTTCGCCCGCTCGCACCGCTTCCGCTCGCTGCTGCTCGCCGACTTCCAGGAGTTCCTGGCGCTGGCCGCGGGCACCGACCTGGCCCGGCCGCTGCCCGCGCCGCACGACGCCGCGCGGGGCCTGAGGCGCGCGGCCATCGGCGCCGTGCAGGAGTGGCACGAGCGCTTCGGCGGCGCCTACCGGCAGCTCGCGCTGGGCCACCGCTTCCTGCAGCGGAGCAAGAAGGTACCGCGCGGGGGGGGGGGCGGGGAGGGGGGCTGGCGTGGCGGGCGCGGGCGCGATGCCATGCCATGCCTGCGCGGATGCCTCTCCGACGGGCGAAGGGGATGCGGGTCTGTATGCACAGGTAGACAGGAATATCCCTCTGCTGATTCCCTGAAGGAAGCCACTGCTTGCGCCAAGATGTTCGGAAGGGCAGCTGATGCGCTGAAAAGATTAATTGCATACTGGGAAGACTCCCTGACAGATATGCTTAAACCCTTTATCCGTTTGGTCTTTGCTTTGGAACAAGTAAGAGAAGTATATTTGCACCAGAATAATTAAGAAAAACCTATATGCTTTTCTCTGACACATCTTACTTTTGCCTAAGCTTTAAAAATAGGTGGTCATTTTACACTCCTAGGGCCCCTTTTGGCTGTTTCCTGAAAGGACCTGCTTTCCAGATTGCTGTTGGTTTTGGAGGAGAGGTTCCAGAAATACCTGAATGTAACTATTGCACAGCCTCTTCCTTCCAGATGTCCAAGACAAAACGACACTGCCCATGTCTGCCAGTGCATCCTAGCAAAGCATTTCTTCTGACTACAGAAGTTGAGTCTCCTCTGCAATTCTTCCTTAGGTGGATTTTCAAGACATACACGCCAGAACTCTAGCTGAGAGAAGGAGAGATGAAGAGAAACAGAAACGACTGGATGCCATTTACAAAGATAAAGCCAAAAAAGCTGAGAAGGAGATGGAAGGTGAGCAGAGTTGAGTTTCTTGATGGGCAGCATATTAACCTGAATTCCGTTTTAGGGTCTCATGATGACGCATGAGTCCCATACTAGTGGGCTTTGTTGATACAAGCACAGCATTCTCAATTTTCCGCTTCCATTTTCATAGGGAGAAAATAGTCGGGTCTCTGCCAGTAAAGAGCTTACAATGTAAATCAGACAGTAGGAGAAAACAAGAGGAGGAAGAGGAAGAGGCGAGGGCAGAGGAAGGTGAATGTGGGCAAACCTAGTTCTAGCAGTTCTGGAAACTTCATAAGCAAATGCTGTGGCATTAGGAATGCTTGGGACGTGATTCCGAGATACGCTTCCTCGCCAGAAAAGGCACCAGTCATGTTCAAAGTGCTCATGGAATGCCACCTCCCTGCTGAGCCGGGGCAGCAGGTCTGGTGTCCTGCAAGGGTGTTTCTGGCAGGTTAAGGGTTCTTGTTGGGCACCTGTTCTGCGTGCGCTTTCCGTCCCTAGGTAGGCCCAGGGAAGAATCCTGCCCGTGTCAGTGCTCGGGTAGGCGGTCTCACATTCTGATTTAGAATGAAGCAGCTGCCAACACTCCTGCGGGACCTCATTCTGAGTCACATCAGTGGGATCTTTGCCTGCTCCTGACATCACTAAGTCCTGGTGCCCTTCTGGTTTCCAAGCCTTTGGCACCTCTTGAAAAGTAGCCTAGTTTCCACTGTGGGTTGACGGAATATGTATGTTGGAAAAAGCGACTGGCAGCGTACAGAACCTGTTGAGGATGTTGGGGCAGGAAGCCTGCCTCCCAGAGAGCCCCGTTGGCTATGGGGCCATTTGTAAGAGTAAGAAATAAGTACGCTTGCCCTAGCGTGGTGTGTTTGCGTGCGTATTCTGGGTTATGTTTCTCAAACTGCTGCCATTTGACAGACATGTCCCAAGATATCCAGATGGTGCTGACTGAGATGGAGAATGGTTTTCAGCTTTTGATGCCAGATCCGTTTGATTTCGTGGTGAATGACACTGGAACGGCTGACGCCAAGGTGGACAGACCTGCTGCCTGTTCACCTGTGCAGGTGGTGGGTCAGCAGGGACCTTCTCTGGAGGATGAGAGGCCTTGTTGCAGTAAGGACCTCCCTCCCATCCCTCGGGGCCCGAAAGCGCCTAGCAGAGACTTGACGGAGGAGACAGAGGGAGACATGGACACACAAGACGGCTCAGAACCCGAGCTGACTTCTGGTGGCCCTGGCGAAGATGACGATCGTGAGAGTTTTGTTCGGAGTCATGGTCTCGGCTCTCATAAATACACTCTCAGCCTTGAGATAGCCACAGGTACTTACGCCCAGTGGCGTGCAAATGGCAGCTGTGCCCCACGGGCTTTGGCTATAGGCCACACTGGGTATGAGAAATACTGTTCACGCACCACCTAATACATTGCCAGCATGGTGCAGTCCTCAGCTGGGGAGCTGCTTGACCGCTGACACTGAAAGAAGGTGTCTGCGTTGAAAGAGACACTGGAGAGACCACCATGAGGCCTTCTTACACCCTTACTTTTCCGCCTTACTTTTCCACCTGCAGTTTTGGATACCTAGGAATTTCAAACAGTTATGGGTACAGCTGCTGAATGGTTATGATAGGAAGGAGTGGAGAGAGGTCCCATTTCTGAATACGGTGTCAGCTGACCCCCATGAGTGGGAGGTTGCCAAATACTGCAGGAGTAACACTTTAGATAGACTTAAGCCATGTAATTTGCTTCTTAATGACAGTTGATATTTTGTTTTTCTTCCCCATTAGATGTGGAACTACATGAAAATGAAGACAATACAGCGATAGTAAGTAATGTCATGGATGCTTACAAGCTCATCAGAAACAAGTTCTTGCCTTCTGTACAATCCTGGATTCAGGTGAGCAAAGTCCTTTTCTTTGAAAATAAAATGGACATTCTTCCTTTCTGCGTTTTGCTTGATCTCCATCTTTGTGTGCTGAGAGGCTGATCTGTGCCTGGGGTTTGCAGGGTTCCCTGGGCCTCTCACTGGAGGCATGCACTTCCTCCGTGACTCTTTTGGCTCTGTTGTGTGAGCTTCCAGCCAAGAACTCGTCCTTTCTGGGCTGGATTCAATCCAGTACACAAGGGCATTTCCTCCCTGTCCCGTTCTGCCCTATTCTCCTGCCCTAAGAGAATTTTCAAACTTGGAGACTTTTCTAGGAAATTGTCTGGGTGGGCCATCTTGATGACATGGTCCGTCCCTTCTCAAAAGTGTAGCTGGCTCTGTAGCATCGTGTCAGTGGGTGGATTGGGGAGCAGCAAGCATGTCTTGTAATGCTCTGATAGTGCAGCAGGGCAGCCACGGGTGTCTCCAGGTGGTGATGGTTCCTTTGTGCAGGACAAGGGACCCATTGGTGGCAGGTGGGGCAGAGGCACCGGGGCCCCTGGCTGACGGTGTTTTGATGAAAGAGGACTGGAGGTGCGTGCTTTCAAAAGCCCTTGTCTAAAGCACTTCTGCAGTTTCCTGCAAATGTTTTGTTGCTCCTTCTTGGTTCGTTTTCTTCTTTCTTACATCATTCCACGAAATGCCTGTGGGGTCACCACTAGGTAAAGTGGCCGGTTTTGCATCTGGAAGCTTTTATGGCATGTCGAGCTTCGCTACAAATTGCCCCTCCTTTGGTGCATTTGGCTATTGAGAAACAGCCCAGAAAGCGCTGTCTGACTCTTGGCCATCAGCTGTTGCAGGGCCGTGCCTTAGTTCTGTGTTACACCGTATAGATAGGTCACTGTGGCTCCTTTCTGTGGGTGAGCTAATACGCAATTTAAACTTGCAGTTGTTCACAAGGGCCGGGATAAGTGACGATCGCCTGAGACGAGCTATTGATCTTAGAAGTAAATTGGATACTGCTGTAGAGAAACACAAGAAAATGAATATCGAATTTAAAGAAAGGAACAGGAAAGCGGTAAGTTGGACTAAATATTTCTGATGTATATTCATGGTGAAAGACTTGCATGCAGGCAATGATGCCAAGGTGTTTTCTCAATATATGATCGCTCTGTTTTCATTTTGATATATTTGATTATGTGGAGGGCATTTCTGGAAATTAGTTTGCTCGTTTTGCTTAAGGTTTGGCATTTGTTGAAGCCTCGTGGACAGAAATTATATTGCAGAAACAATTTAGGCCAATAAAAATGGGGGGAAGAGGCCACTGAGAAGGCTGCTATGGAGAAAAAGCAGAATGAACTCGCCTTGTCATCCGTGTCGGCTTGCTGTCTTGCTTCCTCATCAGTGTGTGTTGCATTTTGTTAGCGCAGCTTAGAGTGTTTGAGCAGTGGGAGCAAGCGAGCGCCACGTGTTTCAGGCATTGTAGGAAAATCCTTTGGCTCTCAAACTCCTTTGGCTCGTGGGAGTTCCATAGTTGGTCTTCCTGCCCTTGTGATCTGCTGCTGCACCTGCTCTCGCTTGACGACCAGAAGGAGAACCTCATCTCGGGGATGGCGGTTCTGCAGCGCTTCCATTTTCAGTTGCCACGTTGCCACGATGGCCAACAAAGCTGTGCTCGCCCATGAACTCGAGGAGACGAGGCTGCCACTCAGGCAACCGGATTCCCCTCTCTCAAGGGGCAGTTTCCTCTCCCCACCCTGCTGGTGGCACGGAAGCCACGGCCCCCACCCCCTCGTGCCCGTGCTGCCCCACCTGCGGCTGGCGCCACAGATGGAGCGCAGAATGCGCTTGGTGATCCAGGCAAGAGCACAGCTGTCCGCCCACGCTTGGAACTCAGCAGTGATGAATCGCTCGATGCTTTCTTTTTATTTCCTGCTATCTGAAGTCTTCCTCAAAGCTGCAGCTAAGCGCCCCCTCTTAAAGAAATCTCTGAGGCTCAGTGCGCATGGCTGCCTGTGGTTTGCAGTAACTGTGGTTGAGAACACAGACTGGGTTCAGCCTGTGAATGGGAAACTCTAGTCTCGACCTCCTTGTCTACTTTCATCTTTGGTCGGTTCAGCATTCCTGAGCTCTGGTGGCCATGGGAGATGCATCGATGTCCATTTCAGGGTTGAGTTTTCACACCTGCCCTTCCAGAGGTCTGAACTGAGCTTTAGTCCTCCTTTTAATTCAACATTTGCTGGGCAGAGTCCTCTGTAGGACGTGTGTAGGCACAAAAAGACCTGTGACCCAGAAAAGGTCCCAAAGAGGCCGACATCCACAGCCGGACCAGGCCGACAGAGTGCATCGGGTTCTACCCTGGGAAATTCAAACTAGCACGGCGCTAGTGTTCCGATATTCCGGATGTGAACCACCTGCTACTAGTAGTTGAGAGCTGCATTTTCCAAACATGTTAAATGAGACTTGAATGCTTTTCCTTGTGAAGCTGCATTGTATGAGTAGGCTAGGTGCCAGTCAAAAATTTTCCTGTGATTCAGAATGCACAACTTGGCAAGAATAGGGCTGAGCCGGGGTGTCAACTGAGCTAGAATTCTTTTCATTGGCCAGTAGAGGGAGTGCGCTCCACTCCCCGGTCATTTCCGGCACTTGCGCCCCTGGAGAGCAGAGAATGCAAGTGAGGGAGGGCAGGGCGGGGTAATGGCCATACTGGACTGGATCCTCATTAATTAGCTTCAGCATTTAAATTGAGCATGATCTCTCTTCTAGACAGTACAGATTTTGCTACCAGGATTACTAATACAATTTGCAAAACTAAGAAAGAAAATTGCTAGTTTTATTTAAAAGACTCACACATGCAGATTTCTTGCATATTTTTAGCACCACAGGGCAGTTATATTACAGGGAAATATACATATTCAGAGATCTAGGATAACCTTTTACAATATTTACATTAAGTGCTTCAGCTTAGGAAAATCTTCTGAAATGCATCTAAACTTAACAGAGAAAAGTATTACTCTTGGAGTGAGTTAATTTCGAAGTTTGCAGTGGAGTAGTCAAACATGTTTGCAAAAACGCATGTATTTGAAACTACAGAATATTTAGCCATGCGCAAAAACACTTTATTCAGCAGAGAGGTCATTTGCCAAAGGTTTTTTTAATTTGAAAATGTATCATGAAAAGACATACAAAAATAAGTATGTTTTGAAAAAGTGCACATGTTCTGTGGTGTAAAAAAATCAGAGACTGATGTAGAAATGGGGCAAAATGAACTTAGCAGTGGGAAAAAGAGGACTGATAAAAATTAAGCTGGAAAGATTTGGCCATCCCTGGAGAAAGGTGGAAGTGTGTTGTTGAAATTCACATGTAACAGTTACATTCACAAAAGGTGAGCAAGTTCAGCAGATGTAGGGCAGCCCAGATGGACTGCAGGTCGGCAGTCGTGTGCAGTGCTTTGAGTCCAGGCTCCCTCCGAGTGACCAGGTTTGGACGGTGCGCGATGGCTTGCTGGGCGTTGGGTGACCCACGACTCCCGGTGATCCCTGTGCTTGTCCAGTTGTGCGTGCGACCCCAGTGTGTCTCGCAAACCAGGGACGGTGGCTTATGTGAGCTTTGGCCCGCTCGTCACCCACCCTCCCTGGGCTTGCGTGCGCGAAGTGTCAGCTGCCTGTGCTGCAGCCTCACTTAGCGCATGATGGCCAGGTGCACGTTTGCTGTGCAGCAGATTATCTGCAGAGTCAGGCAGAAAGAGATCTTGGAGTACGTGGTGGCCGCTAGATAGCTGTGCGTTGGCAGTGCAGGGCGATTGTGGGACAATCAGCCAAACTGTTCCTGTCAGCCCGTGGCAGCGGGAATAGGAACGGGCGGGTAATGAAGCAGGTGCAAAGAAGACCCAGCTGTCAAGCGCATCCCGTTCAGAGCAGTGCAGCGAGCAGTGATTCTGCAATGTTGTGCCGATTTGCCTAGAAATATGAAAAGGGAGAAATATGATTGCACGGCACATGTGCCTTGAAGGAGAAACCTAAAAGGAGGGAGAGCACTTTTAGCTTTGCTTATTTATGGGCTGTTTTTATCTTTGGCAAGATGCTTTGGCTGTTGTGCATCAGCTCGCTTTTTAGGCTGAGTCCTACTGTGTTTGGAAGGTACGCCTCCTCCTCAGAGACCAGCCTGGGAGTGCCCGTCTTTGCAGTTCATAGAGAAACTAGCATCTGGCAGCAGGATGTCACTGTGTTTTACTATCATTTTAATATTTGTGTATGCCCATTGCTTGTGAGGGGTATTTAAGAAACTTTTTATGCTGCTTTGTATATCTTTGACCCACGGGCATAAGAATAACCACAGTGGGAGCACCATGCCTCCCCCCCTCCCCCGGCCCAGAAGGCTCCTGGGAAGGATCACATCGCATTGTGCAAAGCGGCAACAAGGCTTTTTTCTGGTTGGTTAGTGGAGAGCGAAGCCCTCGGCCGGTAAGACGGACACTCTTTAAATCCACAAGTTGCCTGGCATCCCCCTCCCGCTCCAGTTTCATGGGGAGCATCTGACCCAGTGCCTGGGAAGAGCGAAGGGCAAGTGCGAGTAGCACCGGCACAACGGGTGGAGCTTGACGAAAGCCGAGAGGAAGCCTGGGGGCAGAAGGGCCCAAAGGGGAAGGGAAATGCCAGCGCTGTGCTTGGGGCACATCGTGAGAAGACCGTCAGCGGCAGACAAAGAAAAGGAAGCTCCAAGGGCTCCGTAAAGGGAGCCGCAGCCCCGAATTTAGAGCTGAGCAGGGCTGTCACGGACCGGACATTTGGAGGGCTCTCGTTTGCAGGGTCACCATCAGTCAGAGCTGACTTGACGGCACATAACAATAATGCTTTTCCCGAGCTGATGCCCCCCGTGTCTCTTGGTCATGCTAGCTGAAGGCGGAGGAGAGCTGAGATGTTGGAGAAAAGGGGAGTTGTCATCAGACATGAATGTCAAGAGGCAATAAACTTTGGTGCCTTAAATCAGCACGATTTAAGTTCTGCCACCGCTCCCCCATGCAACAGTGGTGCGAACCTCGGTGTCAGCGTGAGGATGCTACGAGAAGGCAGGGCAGGCATGCAAAACTCACGCAAAAGTGGTGCCCAGAAGGGTAAATGAAGCCATAGTAGGCCCTTGTGTTATGTCAGCCAGGTCGACCGGTGTGTATTTATGCTTGAAACATAGTGCATTCCCACAGCGTATTTACTGCAGTTCTTGGAAGAGGAAGCATCTAATGATACATGCGTTAATATGCCAGCTATAGTTAGGATTTTCAAAGTATAAAGTAGGTAAAGTTATACGAATCTCTACCCAAATCAGGTACTTTGTTTTGGTCTATGTTATCAGTCATTTTAAAGGGATTTTATACTCTGTTAATGAACACTCTGTGATTTGGTTACACAAATTGTTCCCTTCCTCCATTTAAGATGACTATATTTTATGTCATGGCTGAATTCAAAATGCATTCACATAAAGTTGTCCATATAAATTGGTTCCACTGCGGTAAGTATTAATTCCTTGGCCAAAAATCCTCTCTCCTCTAGGAAAAAATATTTAGTTGGCTGTGAGTAGATGCACATGAAATATTAGTACGGTGGAATAATTTGCAAGATCTTCCAGTGAGGGTATTAGCATATAAATAGCAGATGCAATGACGACCATCACAGCTGAGTACATTTAATTTTTAGTTTATAAGACAGAATGGGTTTTTAAATGCCTAGTCATCAAGCCTGCTGAAAGACAAATGAAGTTTAGAGTTCACTTACTGAGGGTACCTTACATCACGCTGGAGGAAGAGAAGCCGTGCCTGCCGCACAGCCGTAGCACGAGGGCAGGTGGGTCCTTGGGAAGGGAATGAAACCTGATTGAACAGGCAGTCTGACTACAAAGATTTTAACAATTCCTGATCAAGTGCGGGGAATGTTGTGTAGGGTGTGTTCCCTGTTGCTGCCCCCCCCCCCCCACTGCCAGTGTCACCTGCAAATACGGGCGGGCCGGTGCTGCAGTCCCGCTGGCGCAGCGTGGGAATGCTGGGAGCCACCTCCGTGGTGTCCCTGTTCATCCTGCCACTGTGCA